AAGTTATCGTGTTTACACACGGACAGACACACACACGGACAGACACACACACACACAGACATACGGACAAGATTGCAAAATTATGTTTTTCCGTATCAGTGAGGTGTAAAACGTCGAGATTTGTAAAAATCTCGATTTTTTTTTTTGCACGATTACAATACTTTCTCTATACTACGTATATACGAGAAAGTAAAAAGGAAATGATTTGAACATTAATAGTGACCAGCTTTAGGGGCCAGCCCTTTCACACAATACAAAAACACAACTACATCATCGCAAGCCTAACGTTCAACTGTCCTATCTTTCTGGCCCAAGCTTGACCCTTTGGGTTCCTTAACCCCTGCATGACCCCGGCATTCCAGCGAGGGGGAGGGACGGGCGCCTGCAAAATCCTCGGTGGGACTGATGCATTGTGTCCCAGTTCAGGGGTGGGGGTGGGGAGGGCAGTACACGCTGTCACAGTTCAGGTGTGGGGCAGGAGGGGGGTGGGGTAGATACCCACTAGCGGTGGGACGAGGGGGTTGGACTCGGTTATTATGACACATATCTCTAACGCCATACTAATAATGTATATATATAAAGTGAGTTTTTCCTACGAAAGTTTCATTGTCAGTATTACATGTTTAATCCTAAAGCTTTTTTTAAAAAGTGAATAAAATATTTGTAAGTTTAACTAATTTTTAATTATTTTAGTGCATGTTTTTTTTAAATATGTCAATAAACCAAAGGCTGATGGAACTTTATAATAAGTTGTCAGTTCACAACAAGTTAGTTAATAGAATTATGTTTGCCAGATCAGTTGTTTACTACAGAGGTACCATTGACTTATTGTACAGGGAACTAGCGCTTCGTATTGTTCTTAATTAAACCCTTTTAATGGACACATTTTCGATGTAAGTTTCAGTTTTACTGGGTTTTTCTGTGTTTCCATTTACACGTAGCCTTCACATGGAGTCGTACTTAGATCTCATGTACACTTTATTTATTTTAAAAAAATCATGAGATTATTTATTCAGTAAAAAAATTATTATTTCATAAAAGAAAGAGGTTATAAATGGATGGAACGTTTCATATGTTCAACACACCCTAATGCTTGTTCTATTTAACAGAGACACGTGTACGTAACAGGTACGCTTGCTGTATCACGCTGGAAGATCACACATCAGTTGAAGGATGTGAAGTATTGTCACACTTTGGTAAAGTAGGTGAATATAACGGTCGGCACTTTAATCCAAGAAAAGGAAAATTTGTCTCACCACATGATGGTTTATATCTTGTCTGTGTTACTCTACATGAATGTGAAGGTCAGCAGATTGAAGTTGCTGTGGTGGCTGGAGCAAGGTGAAGGACATCAATCGAAGTGAAATGTGCAAACACTAGCGCTGCTGGGTCAGTGGTTGTTGACATGAGGAAAGGTCAAGAACTCTATTTTTACGTGATACACGGTGATCAAGAAGCTACGTTGTCCTGGGTTAGCAGTTTTACTATCGTTAGTTTATAGAGTTTATAGTGTTTATAGTGTTTATAGTTTTTATATTGTTTATAGGATGTCAACACCAAACATGACGATAAGATATAATAAAACAACAATAACATATGTCGCTATCGTCTTGCACCCATGATAATGGACTACTTTTGATGTATATGGATTGTGTTAAAGGTAATTACCAACAAGTTATATATCAAATTATTTAAATAGTGTAACATGCTTTTAGCTCAATAAGTTTTAAGTATATAACTGAGTCTTGTTAAGACATACACTATTACAATTTGCTTTACGAATTCTACATTAATACAAACCGTTGATTTAAAAGATGTCATCATAAACGCGTGATAAAACGATTATAGTGCCAATAAAAAAAACAATGGTTAACATTAACATGTTTTTCTGCTCCCGTTGATTCAACAACCGAGTATTCTGAATGATTGTGTTGTGTGTTTCTGGATTCTTCCTTTCCTTTGTAATATATATATATCCTGAATTATCACTGACTACTTAACCCTCGTAAGAGTGAGCATTAAACTGCATACGTTTCAAAATTTAAAAGCAATCTAAAACAACACTTTTTTCATTTCACATTATTTTATTTAAAAAAAAAAATTCCATTTATATTTGTTTTAGTTTTTAGTGTTAAAAACTAATCGATAAGCTGCACATTAGTGCATTTATATTTAAGATAAAATAATCACTCCGAATTAGATAATAATGTTACATTTATAAATATATTCATTAGTTTCACTATGTTTACAAATTATGTTTTTAATAAACTAACCTTCAATAATTAATTAGCACTATCAGCACAGTGAAAAATTAAATTATTCAACAGACTTTGCAACTGAGGTTGTAATAATTCTATGAACTAGTACCTAATGTAGCTAAACTATTCGAACTTTTCATTTTATGTATTATATCCAAAAGAATCGAAAATAAAATATCGTTGTTTTATTTTTGAACGAAGTTTATGTTTATTATTTAAAACACTTGTAATGTTTTTTTTCTATTTCGCTATATAACCACCGCAACACGTCGGCTAAACAAGGCGTTCAAAACTTACATCAAAAGAATTTTATGATACCGCCACCAACATCACTTTGCATTTATTAAAGAATAAAGAATTTTTACAGCAGTTTCTCATATTTAAAAAAAAATCAAAATTTTAAAAATATAAACAAAGGTGTTTTTATGCTTAAAACTGTGTTGATTATCAACATTTCAAACTTGAATTGATTAAGATGCCTATTTGGTTATATAATTTTGTATTCAATTTTTGCATTTTTCAGGCTTTTGTCGCATTCGGGCAAGTGTCCATTCGGGCATTTGTCGCATTCGGGCAAGTGTCCATTCGAGCATTTGTCGCATTCGGGCAAGTGTCCATTCGGGAAAACGTCCGGCTCCCGTCTAAAAGTATGCACTTAAACATATCAGTACCAGGTTTACACATGAGAAATATTAGGTACCTCAAAATGTGAGCACCTATACTTAACAATTAAAACCTGGAAATCTAATGAGAAATGCACACGTAATCGGATATTGTGATTACAGCCTGCAGTAAATACTTTGGTAGTTGGTCCTTGTTCAACATACAACAAAACAACTTAATTAATTACGTTAATTTACGCCTTGTTCATGGACCTAACGTTTAATTTTATAGCGACTGATTATAGCAAATAGAAATCATATTCTAGATCTAGATGTCAATTCATAGTTTAGACGTGTTGACGTTCGTGTTTCTTAAGTGTCCATCCGAATAAGTAACAATGCTCGTCTGCTTAATGTTAAAATTAACTTTCTTGTGAATAATGTCGATTAATCCATAATGAAATAGATTTAATAAATAGTTAACGTCTGATAATTAATTTATCAACTAAGATAGTGCTTTATAAAATTATTATTACCGAGGAATAATAAATAGACATTTGATATTTATGTGTTTAAACTAAAACAAATACTATTGAGGCTAATGTAAGAAAACGTTTTGCCATTTTGTATTTAGTTCCTTTAAATGTCCGTATCCTCCTTAAATTAATTAACAGTCTTAGTCTTGGCAGATTTAAACAGAATCTTTTCATATAAATGACACAGTGGCATTCCGTGTTGTTACATTAGAGGGTATGTCTTCACACAGAATGTAGTATTGCTTGTGAACATGTTATCCGCTCTATCGTACGCTGGAACTGCGTTCGGCTGCGTTTCTTCTTTTCCTTCGTTCTTAATGTGTTGGAAGGGATCGAGCCTTATCTGTCACAGAGGGTTTGAACTCGAGATTTTTTCGAATTTATCAACCATGAGCCTTGCCGACTCGACCATGCTTCCATCACAATTAAGGAATACGTGTCAACTGGTTATGCGCCATTGAGGCCATTGACTCCGATTTCAGCCTGATTTTCTTTTGGGATTTGCTTCCATAGCCTTTGTCCAACCAAGAACAAACTACAAGGCAGCAGTTGTTTGATTTTGGAGTTGTCTCTCCTAGAAGAGTGACTTTCCCCAACTAACGAGCCTCTTCTGCCCGAGGGTTCGAACTGGAGACTTTTTCGGTTTAGCAACCATGAGCTTTACCGACTCGACCACGCCGACCCTCGTCTGCTTTTATTTCTGGATTTTCTACTCATAGCCTTTGAACATCCAAGAACAAAGTGCACGCCAGCAATTGTTTCATTTATCAGTTTTCTTGGCTAGATGTGTTGTTCTCTCTGGTTATCGAGGCTAATCTGGCAGAGGCATCAAACAACGGACTTTAGTGTAAGCAAGTGTCAGCTCTTACCTGAACACGGAGATAATGACGTGGAGGTATGACGTCGTTGACCCATTGCATATTACGTCGTTTTTTTTGGTACAGAATAAATTTAAAAATGTTAACACATTTTAATACATTCCACAAATTCCTGTAGATCTGTATGTTAATAATGTTCAGTTTTTAAAGTCGTATTATTTCTTTTATACGATTTTAAGGTTACTCGCGATGTAATTTTCTACCAGCCTTATGTTTCTTATATTTATTTATGCTTGTGTAACACAGGAGATGCTGTATGTAGAATTTATATCACTCATACGATAGTATAGGCCTATAGATTCAAGATGATTAACGGTTATGTTGTGGAGTCCGCAAATCAGTTATATATCCCTTAGTAACTGGGTAGCATGTCTAACATATATGTAGATACTTATATATATATATATATATATATATATATATATATATATATATATATATATATATATATATATATATATATATATATATATATATATAGCCAATAAATAACCTATATAAATATACACATATATACATACATTATTTGTTAGCATACCAGTCTCTCAACTATGGATTTAAATTTAATGTTGCATGTTCAAACAAAAAAGCGTGCAATATATGGTTAACAAAACAAACTGTTATATTATAACACATGCACCTTTATTATAGTGCTTTTATACAAAGAAAAAAAGATATGTAAAATAGAGATATATGTTTAGTCGAGTACAACGTATTAATTGGTGATCACATTTAGTTATTTGGAACTGTGTAATGATGGCCAAGCAAATGACATATAAACCATTCAAGTTTTTGTAGACATGTAGTCTACACACATAATAATTTGTTAGCGTGTGTTTAACATGGTGGTTACATATTTTATTGTTTGAGAATTTACCATCCACCATGTTTTGTGTTGTACTTCTATAAACTAACGATAGTAAAACTACTGTAGTTGGACAACGTTGCGCCTTGTTCTGCGTAAGACACTTTACAGTAAATTTCTTGACCTTTCTTCATGTCAACAACCACTGACCCAGCAGCGCTAGTGTCGGCACATTTCACTTCTATAGCCGTACAGCACCTGCCTCCAGCCATCACGCCAACTCTAATCTGTTTACCTTCCCATTCATTCAGAGTCACACAGACGAGATATAAACCATCATGTGGTGATACAAATTTTCCTGTTCTATGATTAAAATGTTGACCGTTATATCCACGTACTGCACAAAATGTTGAAATAATTGATCCAGTACTGGCAGGTGTGTGATCAACAAGCTCCACATGACAAGCATATCTGTTACATACACGTGACTCTGTTGATTAGAAAACATATGTTTGATTTACATGTTCAATTTCACGAATGGTGTCATCCATTTATGACGTTCACAAAAATTTGGAATTTAAATGTCATTTGTAATGTCATTTGTATCTGTCTAGCTGTCAAGCTATTAACGAATAAATGGGTTAGGGTAAATTCAGCTAATCAACGTGACGTCATAATATTACTCTAACACAAGTTAACGCTACACATGTTTCCATAACAAACCACCCCCCTTTAGTCCTAGTCCCGCTGACCGTGAGCCCTACACACCTGACCAAGCGAGCATATTATACACGTGCTGTTATTTAAATATCTATCTGTAATGTATAGTTTTTTACTTGTAGAAAATCACTAGGTCTCCGTCGTCTTAGGCTTTGACAATTAATGATGTAGGCCTACTATGATTTAGTTACACATCAATCAGAGCCAAATCTTATTGTTTTTTAAAGTTAAGCTTTAATTAGTTTGAACTGTTTTAACCAATAAATTTGAAATATCGTGAATAAAAGTTAAGATTTAATAGTTTGAAATGTTTAAAAAATAAACTTGAAATACCGTGAAATATTTTAGATAATTGTAGCGGTCACTGCCCCTTCCCCCTCCCAAAAATAAAAAAAAATGTCCGCTTATTGTCCTAGGTTGGCGATATACAGTGACATTTTGGCTACATTTATTTACCAGTTGTGCTGGGGACATTCAACACGAGAACTGCCGATTTAACGTATAACCTACATTTTATGTTCATTTTTTAAAAAGTATGTTGTTGTTAAATTCAAAATGTGGACGTTGATAATGACTCGACCCCCCCCCCCCCCCCCCACCAGTCCACATGCGTTTACAAAAGTATATTTTATTCGATCCACCTCCCACCTCCCCCGTGTGAAAGTAATAAATGGATGATCCTCATGCTCTGATGATTTGATCCATAATGTGTGCATTGTCGTATTGTCGTATTATTAGTTTATGTTACTAAATCTAAACATAAACTAATTATATGTGTTTTGAATGTTTGTTCAAAATGTAAGTAAAAATGGCAAACCCAAATCAAACAATTTTAAAAAAATACTTTGTGTATAATAATCCATAAAATTTAAATAATCTTGTCAAAGATCACAAATTGAAACACTAGACCATTACTACTAAAAAAGGTTATATGCGCAAAGTTTCTTCAAGGCATCTCTTCCCCCCCCCCCCCTCTCCAGGACGAAATGAAATGTATGTAGAAATATATAATAGAAAATATATAGAAGATATACTTTTAACAGAGTCCGCCCCGCACCCCCCCCCCCACGAAAATTTCAAATGCCCCCTTCCCCCGGAGAAAAAAGTCTGGAAGAAACACTATATATGCGTTATGTTACAATCAATCAGTCCGTATAGTTTAATTATATAAGGTTAATTTATCGTAACAAGAATATCAGGAACTAAATTTATTATAATGTACTTTTGAAACTCTAATAAAACGACTGACAAAATTAGCATCATTAACCTATTCTATAGCGCATTTCATAATACAACAAATTAATTTGATACTAAGATGTTAATAAACCGGGAGTGATCTCCCTTAAACTTTCTCCAATATTCTTATTTAACTCGGAATATAGACATATTTTTTAAGTACTTAAACTTTTAAAAATAGAATAGAATCTCGTAGACAAAAGAATTGCGCACCAAGCGAACGCTAAAACAAAATGTGCATAATAGTGCGTAATATTATAAGTACTTTATAAATTTACATTCGTTTTTTGAGAAATCGGAAATAGCGTAAATTAGTACTTCCAGTCAACGGAAATTACTCAAAATTTGACAGAAGGTAGAGAATTAGATCTTTTACTTACGTGTGAAATTTCATTTATCTATCTGAAATAGTACTCAAGTTTTATGCTTTTGAAAAAAATCAAATTAGAAAAAGTACCACTTGCGGTTATCGGAAATCGCTCAAAAGTTGATACGGATCTACGATTTTGATAAAATACTTATAAATGAAATTTCATCAACCTAGCTGTAACGGTACTCAAGTTATCGTGTTTACACACAGACAGACAAACAGACACACATACACACAGACATACGGACAAGATTGCAAAATTATGTTTTTCCGTATCAGTGAGGTGTAAAACGTCGAGATTTGTAAAAATCTCGATTTTTTTTTGCACGATTACAAGACTTACTCTATACTTCGTATACACGAGAAAGTAAAAATGTAATAATTTTTTGTGTCTTTAAGTATTATTTGGTTTTAGATTTAACCCCTGGCTCGTATGGGACTCCTTCTTTATATTAGAAACATAAAAGGATAATGTAACGATAATTGAAATTAGTTAATTTTAAACTACAGCTCTGTAAATGTCTTACTGTACTAAGGTAGACCGCTGTAGGTCGACCCCCCACGGGTCTAGAGACTGGCACTATGGGTGAGTGAAATGTTCCATTCTTTATCACGTTATGGTCTGTCTGGCTAACGGACATCACGTGATGGTCTGTCTGGCTAACGAACATCACGTTATAATTTGTCTGGCTAACGAACATCACGTTATGGTCTGTCTGACTAACGAACATCACGTTATGGTCTGTCTGGCTAACGAACATCACGTTATGGTCTGTCTGGCTAACGAACATCACGTTATGGTCTGTCTGGCTAACGAACATCACGCTATGGTCTGTCTGACTAACGAACATCACGTTATGGTCTGTCTGGCTAACGAACATCACATTATGGTCTGTCTGGCTAACAAACATCACGTTATGGTCTGTCTGACTAACGAACATCACGTTATGGTCTGCCTGGCTAACGAACATCACATTATGGTCTGTCTGGCTAACGAACATCACGTTATGGTCTGTCTGGCTAACGAACATCACGTTATGGTCTGTCTGCCTAACGAACATCACGCTATGTTCTGTCTGGCTAACGAACATCACGTTATGGTCTGTCTGCCTAACGAACATCACGCTATGTTCTGTCTGGCTAACGAACATCACGTTATTGTCTGGCTAACGAACATCACGTTATTGTCTGTCTGGCTAACGAACATCACGTTATGGTCTGTCTGGCTAACGAACATCACTTTATGGTCTGTCTAACGAACATCACGTTATGGTCTGTCTGGCTAACGAACATCACTTTATGGTCTGTCTAACGAACATCACGTTATGGTCTGTCTGGCTAACAAACATCACGTTATGGTCTGTCTGGCTAACGAACATCACATTATGGTCTGTCTGGCTAACGAACATCACGTTATGCTCTGTCTGGCTAACGAACATCACGTTATGGTCTGTCTGGCTAACGAACATCACGTTATGGTCTGTCTGCCTAACGAACATCACGCTATGTTCTGTCTGGCTAACGATATCACGTTATGGTCTGTCTGCCTAACGAACATTACGCTATGTTCTGTCTGGCTAACGAACATCACGTTATTGTCTGGCTAACGAACATCACGTTATGGTCTGTCTGGCTAACGAACATCACTTTATGGTCTGTCTAACGAACATCACGTTATGGTCTGTCTGGCTAACAAACATCACGTTATGGTCTGTCTGGCTTACAAACATCACGTTATGGTCTGTCTGGCTAACAAACATCACGTTATGGTCTGTCTGGCTAACGAACATCACGTTATGGTCTGTCTGGCTAACGAACATCACGTTATGGTCTGTCTGGCTAGCGAACATCACGTTATGGTCTGTCTGGCTAACGAACATCACTTTATGGTCTGGCTAACGAACATCACGTTATGGTCTGGTTAACGAACATCACGTTATGGTCTGTCTGCCTAACGAACATCACGCTATGTTCTGTCTGGCTAACGAACATCACGTTATTGTCTGGCTAACGAACATCACGTTATTGTCTGTCTGGCTAACGAACATCACGTTATGGTCTGTCTGGCTAACGAACATCACTTTATGGTCTGTCTAACGAACATCACGTTATGGTCTGTCTGGCTAACGAACATCACTTTATGGTCTGTCTAACGAACATCACGTTATGGTCTGTCTGGCTAACAAACATCACGTTATGGTCTGTCTGGCTAACGAACATCACATTATGGTCTGTCTGGCTAACGAACATCACGTTATGCTCTGTCTGGCTAACGAACATCACGTTATGGTCTGTCTGGCTAACGAACATCACGTTATGGTCTGTCTGCCTAACGAACATCACGCTATGTTCTGTCTGGCTAACGATATCACGTTATGGTCTGTCTGCCTAACGAACATTACGCTATGTTCTGTCTGGCTAACGAACATCACGTTATTGTCTGGCTAACGAACATCACGTTATGGTCTGTCTGGCTAACGAACATCACTTTATGGTCTGTCTAACGAACATCACGTTATGGTCTGTCTGGCTAACAAACATCACGTTATGGTCTGTCTGGCTAACGAACATCACGTTATGGTCTGTCTGGCTTACAAACATCACGTTATGGTCTGTCTGGCTAACAAACATCACGTTATGGTCTGTCTGGCTAACGAACATCACGTTATGGTCTGTCTGGCTAACGAACATCACGTTATGGTCTGTCTGGCTAGCGAACATCACGTTATGGTCTGTCTGGCTAACGAACATCACTTTATGGTCTGGCTAACGAACATCACGTTATGGTCTGGTTAACGAACATCACGTTATGGTCTGGCTAACGAACATCACGTTATGGTCTGGTTAACGAACATCACTTTATGGTCTGTCTGGCTAACGAATATCACGTTATGGTCTTTCTGGCTAACGAATATCACGTTATGGTCTGTCTGACTAACGAACATCACGTTATGGTCTGTCTGGCTAACGAACATCACGTTATGGTCTGGCTAACGAACATCACGTTATGGTCTGTCTGTCTAACGAACTTTGTTTAACAAATGATTATATCCGTGTAATTAAAAGGCAGAGAGTGCAATAATTTTTACAAAATGTTAGAGATTGAAGGTAGAATATTGAACAATGGTAATGAAACGTATAAAACATTTACCGATTGGTTATCAGTGTGAATTACATGATAGCTTTTACTATTGTTACATTTAAATGGGAAATCAAAAGGTCGAAATGTCATTAAATCACTACTGTTAAATAAATATGTTTCTAACCAATTTTTAAACCGAACTTACCGATGCGATGAAAATCGTTGGACAACTTTGAAATACTATTTTCAAGTTCACCCAGCTAAATTAAAATAAAATACATAAATGAAAGCATCACAATATATTACGGTTTTAAATATATAAGCAATAAACATATTGTATGCACCAAAATCATTGTTAATTTGAACGGAAATTTTTAAAAAATAAACTTTAATCCAACAGACGAGGACAACATGGATGTTTACAAACCCACGCCATCTTTACCACAGCCTGACACACAGACAACAGCAACATTTCTAACAGTAGAATCTACAAGACAACTCATCACACAAGTTCAACACACAGCTGGTATATTATATTATTCTTTGGCATAACACGTAAAATAGCATCATCATATACATTGATTTGATTTCATTTTTAACATTCTATTTTCCAAGGTTCAAGACATGTTAAGTTACAAACTTATATTTGTGACTATCCTCAGTTGAAGAACATCCTGACCTAGAGCGTAGACTCGCCTATATTGAAACAACACTATCTTCACTACAGGACACACAACACAAGTCTACAGATGACATATCAGAAATAAAACAATGGAGAGACAACTTTGTAACAGAACAGAGTGACATGGGGGTAAACATTGCACAACTGACTAAAAAACAAAAGCAGAATTTTAAAAACATCAGCAAACAAATGAGTGAACATGATATCAAAATAAAGGAGCTGAACAAAGAAATTGAAAGTTTAAATGAAAAAGAAACCAAGTCAAACAAAACACAAGAGAAACTGTCTCAAGATATGAAAGAATATGAAAACAACTTACATAAAATAAATAAAGAGATGCAAGCTTACACAGATAAAACAGACAATATAACACAAGAAATTAAAAGGTTTTCTGATTTAATTGTTTCGTTACAAGATGAAAGTAATAAAACCTTTGTCAAAACATCAATCGGATTTGAAAAGTTGCAATCAAAGGTATAGTTTTAATTTGCTAAGTATTTTGAACACATTTCTATTCCCTTTTGTCATTTAACGTACATCAAATTCTTAATTAAAAGGCATTTGATTAATTTAACCTTTAATCATACCGTTTATTTTAATGGTAATTTTATGTGAGTTTTAATGTACAAAAAATAGTTTAACTTATAAATAATCTTCTATTGTGATCGTCGGTTTTTAGCACAGTGTGATGTACAAACTCCTACAACAATAGAATCTTCACTTATTACATTTTTTTGCTAGCCGCATAAGATAATGTGATGGACAATAGAGGACAGAGACGTTTGGTTTACTGGCAATTGTTAGTCTCTTTTGTTTTGGACGGACTTGTTGCAGTAATTCATGTTTCATTGAACATAATTACACAGGTAAAATAAGAGTAGCATGATGTATAATCGTGTTACGGTCGTTGATGCAGAGAGACAGGTGCAAATATATGTAGATCTGCAGACACGTTTGCTAGCACCTGTGCAAATATACATGTACACCCTTCTCCCCCCTCCACCTACCGTATTATGGTTACAACACAGCAATAAAACATCAAGGTGTGACCCCAGAGTTGCACGATTTAGGTAGAAATTATTTTGTTTGCAGTTTATAACTAAATATAAAGATTTAAATATAAAGATTTAAATACACATTTATATAGAAAGTAAAAAAAAATGTAAAGTACTTCGTTTTTTTTAAAGATTTTAGGGATACATTTCGTGATGAATACTATATTTGAGGGGAGGGGCGTTGCCAGAATTTTTTTCGCAAGTATTTGTAAGCAAATAGGACTAGTGTCAAAGTAGATACTTGAAGTGAGGATATTTTAGACGTGTTAACAATGTAAACAACTACCTCAGTTGGCTACTGCTTGTGTTTGAAAACATAAAATACATAACACTTTAACTACGTATCGAAACTTGTCAAATGTTGTCTTATAGACTTAAACTGAAATGAAATTACAAACCATTCCATAAATAAAATGACAATAATCACATCGAGAGTTTTACAAAACTTTCTTACAGGAATTATATTTTTAACGCATTCATTGTAGCTGTTACCCTCTCTACGAAACGCTTTTTATTTTTTTTTCATTAAATAGTTAACCATTACAGCTGTTAAACTATAAAAATAATTCTTTTGTATTTATATGCTACCTCATTAAAACTAGAACGGCAAACCTTAAGTTCTTAACGGAAAAATCCGCTATTAAAAATATATCTTCTACCAGGTTACAAAGATGGCGACAACACAAGACACGTACTAGAGCAGCTGTCTTGTCTTCAACTAAAACATTTTATTTAGGTAACACACAAACATTAAACACATTATCTTATTATCTAATAATCTGTAGTGAGTGTCATTTTAATGCTTTTAAACTATCTCAAACGAAATTAACGTACATTTTAAAATTATTTTTAAAAATCATTAGCCTTCATGAATATATTACATTTTTAATAAATAAAACATACACTTTTCTACATACTTTTTATGTTTATCGTTATCAGTATTGTATGCATATTTAAATGGTATGTAAATTAAATGTTTACACTTACTTCAAAGATAACTGCAGTAAATTTTACAGCTAGATCTAGATCTAAAATCGTTCTACAAACTGCTACGCTGCTATTGAAACCGAAATAACTGAACGGGAAATTCCGGTATTATCTAAAGAGTTAACGTCACGTTCCAAGGGACAGAACTGTCGCTGTTCAAATTTATCTCGCTCGACCTCATTAAGGTAACTCACAATATAGAGGAGTCGAACTATCATACCGCAGTACGGGTGGGGGCATATTCCGACCAAAACAAAACATATATTTTTTGCAACTTTTTAAACATATCTACTACAGCAGTGGTTGTTCTTCAGTATGTAGCACACACTGTCACATAGAGACAAATCTTGATTAGCTGTTGTGTGAAAGTTTGGCAAACCTTCTAATCATTTACATATTTTATCACTCCGCTTTAAATAGTATAATAGGGATGTCAAAAAGGTAATTTGTCTAGTTTGAACTAAACAAATTAAAAAGAAATTTCTTTACTTAATTGTTATTAAATAAGGAATAATAAAGAATGACATAGTCATAATTAACCGGGAGTGATCTCCCCTAAACTTTCTCGATTATTCTTATGTTAAACAACAGGGGATGGGAACTCGGGCTACAGACATGATTTTTAATCCATTTTAAAAGTTTTAAAAATAGAATAAAATCTCGTAGACAAAAGAATTGCACACCAAGTGAACGCCAAATGAAAAAGTGCATAATAGTGCGCAATATTATTAGTACTTTAAAAATTTACATTAGTTTTTGAGAAATTGGAATCAGCGTAAATTACTACTTCCGGTCCACGGAAATTACTCAAAATTCAACAGAAGGTAGAGAATTAGATCTTTTACTTACATGTGAAATTTCATTTATGTATCTGAAATAGTACACAAATTATAGGCTTTTGAAAAATTCAAAGTACAAAAAGTACCACTTCCGGTTATCAGAAATCGCTCAAACGTTGATACGGATCTACGATTTTGATAAAATACTTATATATGAAATTTCATCAACCTAGCTGTAACGGTACTCAAGTTATCGTGTTTACACACGGACATACACACAGACAGACACACAAACATACGGACAGAATTGCAAAGCCCAGTTTTTCAGACTGGATTACGCATAAAACCTCTTAATTTTGATAAATCTGGATTGATAATTTTTGCCCGATTAAAATAAGTCCTCTATACTTCAGATGTGATGAAGGACTGAGGTATAATACGGAGAAAATAGTTAAAATTTCAAGTGATTTTTGTGCACGATTACAATACTTTCTCTATACTTCGTATATACGAGAAAGTAAAAAATGATATTTTTTTAATATCTTTTAAGTTAGCGAAAACAGCTTTTATTAGAGAAGGCAAATTAATTTTATATTTTTAATTTTTAAAGCCGCCAATGCCTATTGCTTTTACCGTTATTGAATACATTATTTTCTTATTTACAATATATTTAAAAGCTTGTTGTTAACGAATTTTAATTTTTGTTTTATTTGTTTAAACTGCATCCACTATCTTTCGCATTTTCTCTCTATGAGTGCCATGAACACAATCAATTTTCTGAATTCCAGCTAAAAACATTAATCTTGTTGGTCTTGTCATATTTTAAGACGGCACAAATCAAAATTTAGTCACCGAGTCGATGTTCTATAATCTATTGTGAACCCCAACAGTTGATGTTTTATTGTGAACCCCAACAGTTGATGTTTTATTGTGAACCCCAACAGTTGATGTTTTATTGTGAACCCCAACAGTTGATGTTTTATTGTGAACCCCAACCGTTGATGTTTTATTGTGAACCCTAACAGTTGATGTTTTATTGTGAACCCCAACAGTTGATGTTTTATTGTGAACCCCAACAGTTGATGTTTTATTGTGAACCCCAACAGTTGATGTTTTATTGTGAACCCCAACAGTTGATGTTTTATTGTGAACCCTAACAGTTGATGTTTTATTGTGAACCCCAACAGTTGATGTTTTATTGTGAACCCCAACAGTTGATGTTTTATTGTGAACCCCAACAGTTGATGTTTTATTGTGAACCCCAACAGTTGATGTTTTATTGTGAACCCCAACAGTTGATGTTTTATTGTGAACCCCAACAGTTGGTGTTTTATTGTGAACCCCAACAGTTGATGTTTTATTGTGAACCCCAACAGTCGATGTTCTATTGTGAACCCCAACAGTTGATGTTTTATTGTGAACCCCAACAGTTGATGTTTTATTGTGAACCCCAACAGTCGATGTTTTATTGTGAACCCCAACAGTTGATGTTTTATTGTGAACCCCAACAGTTGATGTTTTATTGTGAACCCCAACAGTTGATGTTTTATTGTGAACCCCAACAGTTGATGTTTTATTGTGAACCCCAACAGTTGATGTTTTATTGTGAACCCCAACAGTCGATGTTCTATTGTGAACCCCAACAGTTGATGTTTTATTGTGAACCCCAACAGTTGATGTTTTATTGTGAACCCCAACAGTCGATGTTTTATTGTGAACCCCAACAGTTGATGTTTTATTGTGAACCCCAACAGTTGATGTTTTATTGTGAACCCCAACAGTTGATGTTTTATTGTGAACCCCAACAGTTGATGTTTTATTGTGAACCCCAACAGTTGATGTTTTATTGTGAACCCCAACAGTTGATGTTTTATTGTGAACCCCAACAGTCGATGTTCTATTGTGAACCCCAACAGTTGATGTTTTATTGTGAACCCCACATTAGGGATTGTTAAGGTGGATGCTAGCTAGAGTCGTTTATTTCAAAAGTAGACACTTTCTTCACAGAACATACAAAACAGAGGAATTATGTTAATAATTTAAATATGACCTTGCCTGTCTAAGTTTAGTATGATTTATTACCTTGAGATATCCTATCATAAATTCATTGAGATAAGAAAAAACTTATTTTTAATTATATCATTTTGCCTATTACAGTTTACATTGAGATATTCTAAAACTAAAAACATAATTTTAATTACACCATTTTCAACGTCACAGTTTACATTGAGATACTCTATCAAATATTCTATGAGGTAAGAAACTTTTAATTATATACTTTTGTATTTATGCACTACCCTGCTCACCAACATTAAAATTAGATCCGTACTTTGAACACCAACCTAGTGACACACAAAAGGATAAATCATGTTCACAAGTTTGTAGAAATGTGTTATGTTATTTTTATGTTTTTGCCTACACTATAGTCTACACATTTTCTATGTACATTTTAATGAGCTGATAGGGTCACAAATATTGATAATTAATAGTTGATCTATTTATAAAGAGTATATTCAAAGGAAACAATTACATTAAATTAGTTTATATTTTCATACAGATGGCCGCATCGATTCCTATAAAGGAGCAATTAGCTCAGTTGTTGAACAATCTGGAAGAGATGAATAGTTTGTTGAAAAATAATTTAAATGACTTTGATCAACAGGTAAGCACATCTCATAGTACGATATATTCACAAAACATTAACTTATCTAGAACATTATTAAGCTGCTTAAAAAATACAAACGCCTAAGCCTGTTACTAAGAGCTATTTATTATTTGTGTTGATTTTCTCTCAAAATAACTGACACTGAATTTCAGGTATATAGTTGTTTTTAAATTTGGACTTATTTTTTTATGCAAATTACAGTATGTCGCGAAAACGCGACATCGGGCACTTACGGACCGAACAGTAATATCCACGCACAAACAATAGCATATAACAAACTAAACATACGGACATGCAAGGAGATGTAGAATCACTTACAAAATGTACGAAAACTATACTTTATTAGCTCAGGCATAGAGTTACATAACTCTGCTGCACCTGATCACTGTCTAACTCTTATGAATAGGTATTTCGAAGCCTTGCTGTCGTGGTTCTACTACACTTCAGTAACACACTACATATGAAAGGACTTCATTCAATGTGTAGAGCCTTAGTTGTCCCCGGTTACGTCATTTTCGTGAACTCTTATTCAATGTCAACTAATAAAGACGCATATTTCTCATTTGACCTGTATTTGGTATATACACAAAGCACGTGAACAAATATTGTCATAAATGACAGTGTTCAGCCATTGTATATTCGTCCATGCTCAATGTAGCTGCTGTGGGAACTTAGCGTCACTGCTGTGGGTACTCAGTTCCACCGGTGTGGGTACTCACTGCTATTGTTGATGGTACCCTATGTTTCCGATTCGTGCTACGGCTATTAAGCTCGACTGATTCTGCTATTAATTACCAATGACAGTGCTGTAGCTACATATTGCCACTGGTATGGGTACTCAATGCTGAAACAGTGGGTACTGAGTGTTGAAGCCATGTGTACTGAGTGCTGAAGCTGTGGATACTCACTGTTGAAGCTGTGGGCACTCAGTGTTACTGCAGTTGGTTCTTGATGTCACTGCTGTGGGTACTTTGCGCTGGAGCTGTTGGTAATTGATAACGTTGATGTGGGTACTCAGCCTTAGCAGTGGGTACTCGGTATCACTGCTGTGAGTGCTTATTGCTCAAACTGTGGTTGCTCAGTGTCACTGATGTTGGTACTCAGTGCTGAAGATGTGGGTACTCAATAACACTGCAGTCGGTACTAAATGCCAGTACAATGCCACTAATGTGGATATTTAATAGCAGTGCAAAGGGTATGTTTGTCAATATTCAAACTTACTGTGTTTATTACGAGGTGTATGTCTATGCTCAGTGTTATTATTGTCAAGGTCACTGTGAAGAGCTTTATTTGGTGGTATACAGGATAGTGGTCCACCACCTCACTTCCTGTTGTGTATTTATTTTTTTATGTTCTCATATTTTACAATATTATTTCAAAGCTAAATTCGTTATATTGTACCAAGCAATATGATCACATTATCCCAGCATCTCTCTCTCTCCATATGCTAATGTCAATTAAACATGTGAACTCTACTTCACCTACCACATGGACCGTAACTTTCTAAAGTGCACTTGTATATATAGACAAAGACTATATTGTAAATCCTTAACTTATTTATAATCATACTTGAATAAATGACAGCTTGGCGATGCATCGTATTTCGTTATACCTGTTTGGCACCCAAGTTCCATTTTGTCTTATTGCCGGATGTCGCGAAAACGCGACAAACCGTAATTAGCAGATAACTTCAAAAATTCTTATCATATGTGATTTATACTGTTTACATACATAAAAGAGTGAATAATAAAGCTATTAGTATTTTTGTAGCAAAAAAGGATCACCTGTTTAGAAATAATAATCAATGTAATTAGGCTGAATTCATGAAGTGAAACAAATTACGATGCAGCAGTAGGATAAATGTCCCTATGCACAAATGCTAAGCGCTAAATCGATATTAAAAGTTAATGCATATATTTTTGCTAATGGGTGATATGAAATTTTATTTTCCATCCACATTCCTTCTGTAAATAGATGTGTACTTGGAAGTGGAATTACTTTAAACACCCAATCCAAAAATGATGAATATTTTGAATTTAGATGTTTTTTTGCTTTTAAATTAAATGTCACATTAATCTTTAAATATTTCAATCCTCGTCTATGTTATGTCATGTCTAGGTAAAACAAGCAACACTGGAATGGTTGGACAATCCATCAGAAGCGAATATAGATTTTAAAGAAGTGGTTTCTATTGTAACAACAGTAAATACTGCCCTACTTAAACTTAAACAAACGATTTCTGGTAATTTTATGATATGTATACATTTTTACTTTTTATTTTTCAATAATTCGTTGGATTATTAATTTATAACGATCAAAGACAATCGACAAATATGGTACATAAAAATATACAATACTAAACTTTAGTTATTATACATTTTGTCTTCATTGACTACGTCTTTCATTTAAAATCATCCCGATTTATTGTAATATATATCTATATTTGTAAAAAAAACTATTGTATGTTTTCTAAAATTCAAAATATTTATATTGGAATGATAACATATCGTTTAAAAGCCGTTAATTTTTATATTTCAGATTGTGTGCTTTTGAAAACATTTGCAATGCTTTTCAAATATTTTTACATTCTTACTATTGTAAATCTAGTCCTTAAAACATTTGTGTTACACATGTCTAAAAGTTTCCTGCACCAAGTATCAAGCAATGGCTGCTGGAGATAAGACAACACAAGAGAATAAAAGTGTTGACTCTGTACACGATGGAAATTATTCTGATCTTCCTATGTCAGGTAAAATTGCTTTATATATATATATATATCAATGCACCGTTGCTGTAATGTAATTACTTTACTTTTGTCTTTAGTTTGAAATATTTTGATTCTATAGCCTTCTCCAAGAATATGCTAACATAAACAAATTTTACAAGTTGCAGGTGATTTAAATAACAAACTAGAGCAGAGAGTAGAACGTCTTGAAACAGCGCTAACTTCTATGCAAAGTAGGAATAAAAGAACTGAAGCTGATGTGACCGAAATTAAGCAATGGAGGGACACTTATAAAACAGAAGAAAGTAATATAAACGAACAAATAGAACAATTGGCTATAAAACAAAAACATAATGCTAAGCAATTCCGAAAGCAAATTAACGAACAGAAACATATAACGGATGAGATGAATGAAGAAATGAAACAATTGAATGAAATAAAACAATGGAGGAAAACACTAATATCAGAACATAACACTATGGCGAAAAAACTTGAAGAACTGTCTAAGACACTAACAGATAATAAAGAAAAGACTAGAGAGCAAATACAAGAATCCAAAACCAGAATAAATGAGTTGAATACAGAAATTAAGACCCTCAAACAAAAAGAATCAAATACAAGCCAAACACTGGAAATTACAAATACAGAGATTAACAAGTTTGACATAATGTTGAACAAAGTAAATGAAGAATTAAAAATTCAAACTACTAATACAGAGATATTACAAAAAGAAATTAAACGGCATTCTGATATTTTATCTCACTTGAGGGAAGAAGGAAAAAAAAACAAAAATACGGAAACCAAAGTAGAAAAGTTAATGTCAATGGTTTGTACTTATTTATATTTTTGAACACATATGGTATTTTATTAAATGGTTTAGTTTAGTTCTTTGTATTTTATTAGTTAATAGCTACACATTTTATAACTAAAAATCAGCTCAATTGCATTGTGTTTCCACTTCATTTGTGAACATTTTTAAAACAACATGATTATATTATTCTACTTCTAGCATAGTGTGATGTCCAAGATCTTGCAACAAAGATTGATGCCCTTTGAAAGTTTAATTCAAAAGTTTAATCAAAACCTGGCTAGTAGACAGATAAACAAACAAAAGGTAAAGTGTTTAGTATCTAATGCGATTTTTCACATTGAGAGTCTACAAAGCGCATGTCTATACGACATTCACTTGTGACAGGAGTATTGTTTGAGACCAGAGGCGTATCCAGGTTTTCGTTGTAGGGGGAGCGAAAAGAGCAAAAAAAAGGCGCCGAATTTTTAACACGTTCTATATACGTGTATTATATATATATATATATATATATATATATATATATATATATATATATATATATATATATATAATTACTAGATGTATGTCATTACTTCGCTATGATGTAAAATAAGTAGCACTCTGAAGAAATAAGAAAAAACACAATGTAGGCCGACAAAACAAAAATTGTATCAATAAAAAATATACACACACTACAACCAAAAACAATGAACGTAACACAATCTGTTTTGTAGTTCTTGTAAAAAAAAAATTCTTACCTAATAATTCCTGGGAAATTATTTAAGACAATTGAAATAGGGGAAATAATCACTCTCTTAATATAAATATTTATATATCTACAAATTTGATTATAAATGTCAAAACAAATAAATAATCACTTAAGAATATAATGAAATTGTTTAACACTATTTGTGTTTACAAAATGTTTTGTCTATAATCAAAATTTAATATATCATCATCATAAATGCTAAAGTAATATAGCATAATGAAAGTTTTTAAAATCAAAGTTGGAATAAAAGCTCGCTTTTCTATATAATTGTACCACATTCGGAATAACAGCCTACATATAACTAAATATAGGTCTTTTAGTTCATATCATATATTTTTAATTAACTACTGCTTCTTTGTGTTCTTTAAAGATAATTGTTTAACATCGTGACAGGTATGGGTTGGATCACTGTATTGATCACACACCTTTTTACTGGTATTTGCAAAAACAATATTTACAGAGTTTTACCTGTTTCAAAAGCTATGATTCTGGCGGCACGGTACTTTGGTACATCGTTACGCGTTTTTCCAAATATACTTAACAGATCAGTTCGGGTTGGGTTGGGGGGTGTGGGGTTCAACTTCATTCACCACTGTCCGGTCACTTTAGGTCAATTATCCAACTCAGTGTACACCTAGGTGTGACATAATGTCGCTCTACACAATTGTGGTGGTGAGGTGTGTGTGTGGGGGGGGGAGATAACCAACTCAGAGTGAACATAGCGTCAGTTTTTAGATGACTGTTCTAAACATACATATTCAATTACACATATATACTGATTCAGAAATAGATTTAAATAAGTAGCAGTGGTATTGTGACAAAACTTTTTTTTTTTACAGAGAATCCATGGGGGGGGGGGGGGGGGTTGTAACTGTTTCATATAATTTGTAATCGTAATCACTATCGCCCAAACTGTCATAATACTACTACTTCATCGTCAAAATTTCCCCACCACTACGCAGTTTGCCCATAAGTAATTTTAAATAGAGGTGCCACATCAGTTGTATTTGTGTCTGATTTGTATTTTTTTTTAAATTAATTACACGATTAAAACTGTATATATAAAGTAATTATGTGTGAAGATTTATGTATAACATTTTCTAGATCAATTATTCTTAAGCAAATACATTATACAGTTGCCTTAAACTTAACACCCCTCTTGCCAAGTGGTACTACCCGTAGAGGTTTTTTTAAAATTGCAATGCATCGTAATGGTTATTTTTAGAATGACAAACTTGATACAGCTGTTAATACATGTTGTAAACGTAGACGCTACTAGACTAGTACAATTCTGCTTAATCGCTGCATGAAAAGAAATATTGTGATTTACATAGATGTGCCAACTAAAAATAATTTGTTAACAAAAAATCATTGTTTAAAACTTTGAGTTTAAAAAGTTTCCAAAAAGGCGCCACTTTACTGAAAATGGCCAGAGGGGGAGCGGCCGCACCCCCTGCTCCCCCCCTGCGTACGCTTCTGTTTGAGACTGATATACATAGATTAACAATGTAGCTTTCGTTCTGTGGTAGACTCAATTAGAACAATAAAAATATAAATAATCACTTTTCTCAAGTTAAATTTGTTAATTTCTTTTTCTTTTTTTTTTGTAAATTCGTAAAAAGTCAATTGTACAAAAAGAGGTCGGCGTGGTCGAGTCGGCAAAAGCTCATGGTTACTAAACCGAAAAGTATCGAGTTCGAACCTTCGGGTAGATTAGGCTCGTTAGCTGGGGACAGCCACTCTTCTACGAGAGACAACTCCAAAATCAAACAACTGCTGCGTTGTAGTTTGTTGTTGGTTGGACAAAGGCTATGGAAGCAAATCCAAAAAGAAAAGCAGGCTGAAATCGGAGTCAATGGCCTCAATGGCGCATAACCAGTTGACACTTATCCTTTACTGTGATTGAGGCGTGGTCGAGTCGGCAAAAAGCTCATCGTTGATAAATTTGAAAAAAGCCTCGAGTTCAAACCCTCTGCCAGATAAGGCTTCTAAAAATTAAGAACGAAAAAAAAAAGAATTGTAGAAAAATAATGATACCATTTTTAAAATGGCTTGATGTCATCTTTTGTTTTTAGCTTGCAACCCTGGAAAATGATAATTGGAAATTGTCAAATGATCTAGATTCAATTAGTAAGTATGTTACGATTAACTCCTTGTATGATAGTTACAAGCCATTGGTACCCATTAAATGTGAGTTATAGGCCTATATTATTTAAATTCTATACCTGGTTGAGAATTGAATATATATATATATGTATGTATATATATATATATATATATATATATATATATATATATATATATATATATATATATATATAAAGCAGTGCATGTTTGTGTTTGTATGTCTGTCTTCTATGCATTACAACATCTTTCATCCAATCTACATGAAACTTTGGGAAGTTTTTAGAGGGAGGTGTCTGTGAAAAAAAACCCTTTAAAATTCACAGAATTTGCGCCCCGATAGTACGCGGCTTTATTCTTCTCTATATACGGTATATAACAATAAAAGTCGATTGCGGTTTGCCACCGTTCATCCGATCGCCATGTATCTTTGTGGAGGTGGTGGGTGGATATGGGAGAAGGTTTCTGCAAATTGTGGCGCCCTGGGTTATCATTTTAGCACCATTGTGCCTACGTTATTGTTAAAGAGCCAGGCGCCTACGCAGTGCAATCAAAAGCGCCCTCTACGTCCCCTACACTTGTGAGGTCAGTGATAAAAGGTGATATTACGGTGAGTGATTAATGTACATTCAGGGCTTTCATACGCTAGGCGATAGTGTAGGTAAACCCGTTTCTAGATAAATATGATCAAAGCTCAGGCATTGTTTACATTTAAATAACTCAGTTTTAACAAACAAGGTAAGGCGTCTAAAAATATACGATTGGTAAAGCATTGATGAAACGCTACTAATATATTTTGTCCGATTTGTATTTGTCTTTTAATCATTGCTACACCTTTGAACAGATCGCGATGAAACTTTGGGAAGATGTTGATAATACTCCTGGTGTGGTTTCTGCGTTTTAAAACGTTTTAAGTTGGGCTATTGTCGAGTAAGAATATAATAAGTGTCTGGGAACGAGAACAAAAATTCAAACAGGACTAAAGAGACGTACACGCAGACACACACAAAGACACACACATAAATAGAAAAAAGTCATCGTTACACACAACACAAATATTGACATAACAAACACACAAACAAAACGTATGTTTCAACACATTATACAATCTTGTAAGTGTATCTGCTTAGTTATGGTTGATCCAAGAATTTTTTTTTAAAAAGGTTCGTAATCGTAAGGCGATCGAATAATATTCGCGCTTTTTTCTAACTCTCTTTGTCGCCCCACCCCCGTCATGTTTTATCCAACGATTACTTAATTACTTAAAATGAGACTTGTATACTATACTAAACACAAAAACGTTTGAACACAACGTTCAACAGAAATAAACATGAGTGAATAAATATGTTTATATCACTTTATGTACGGTGATTGATAATGCATGTTAAAAACAGGACAAGACATTAAGATTTTAAGTCTATTGGTAAGTTAAATAGTAAACACACATAACTGTGAACAGACACACAGACACTTGTGCAAAAGTCTATGATTATACTCTAACATATTATTTCCAACAGAGATTCGTGTATGTCAGCCTTACATCTGTCAACTTCACCTGGATAACAACACAACAGTGACTACTGGATCAATTCTTTCAACATTCTATTGCGTGTGGGAATCCTACGGCAACCATTTTAATAGAACCACAGGAAAACTTGTAGCACCAGATGATGGTTACTATCTTGTGATTGTGACGCTGCGTGAACGTGATGCTAAACTGATTAAAGTTGATGTGTACAGGGATGACTCATTTTATCAGAACTGTTTTGTCAAATCTGCCAACACATCTGCCGCTGGAGCAACAGCTATTTACATGATGAAAGGCCAAGAACTTTACTTTAAAGTGGGCCAAGCTGATGATGGAGCCAAGCTACAAGGAGGAAGTGGCTTTACTATACTTAGATTATAAATTTAGTAATGCTTATGAAATAAGTAGTTTATAATTTATTTCACACCACATCATTTTTGATTGTTTTTGATTATCCAATGTTCCTATATTGTATGCATGTGTATATCGTTTCAATAGGTGTTTCGCTGTTTCTGGCAGTCATATTACAGAGAAATATGTGACCATACTGTATTATAATCTACACTTCATTTTTGGAAAACAAATGGTTTGATTTTTTTTTCGGTTGCATTTTAAAATACATACAATTAAACATACAAAGAGTTTGTGTTTAAGTGTTATAACATAAATTAATGTTAAGATAATAAAAAGTAGCTATGCTTCGCATGCCATTGTGAAATGAACATATACATCGTAAAATATTATGTCTAGTCATCTGAGTACGCTTATGTAACATAATATGCTTGTCCCATATAGCATGCAGCACCACTTTCCGTCATGGTTTAATCATGTTAAGATGTAAAGATGTACATGAATATAATGGTCAAAACTGTAATCAAACAACTTGATAGTTTATATAAGTATACGAGAAAGTAAAAATTGTCCAATTAATACAATTGAACATTATTGATTTTTTTTTAAATAGACTAGTTTTTAATTAGTTTCATTAGTTGTTTTACATGCTATAGAACGCTTTAGGATATGGGTTAGTACAAAAGTAATATATTAATATTTGTAGTGATAAACGCATACATTCGTTGCTAAAAGGTCATTTTAAGACGCAATAATACTAAGAAAAAATAAATAAAACATGAGAGATCTCCCCTTAATATTAACGGTATATTCGTATATCACCACAAGTCAAAAAACACTGTCAGTGCAATCGGGCGTTAGAAATGTTGTTTTTTTTTTTAAATTTATTTTTAAATAATTAAATACAATATATCAGTATACTTGTATTATTAAGGTGTATTAGCTCAACTATCTAGTCTGTGATAAGTCAGATATCTAAAGTTTATCTATCACCAGCTTTAGATTTGCTTAATGTTAACTTACATTCGACTGAATAATCCTAAGTTTTTAGCTGTTTGGCACATGAATTTTTCAATCTAGTTCAAATACAGTAATAAATTATGGCTCTACTTAAACAACAAAGTGTGAAGTCATGAACAAAAGTTGCAGCAAAGATCTAGCGATGACTGCTTTATGTGTACTTTGTACTGATCCGTTCTTTGGCTTAATTTCATAGTTTAATATAAATATATGTAACATCATATTGTTTTATCATGCAATCACTGACTGGTTTTATCACTTATAGCTACCTATTGTTCAGGTGTGATCAAATCAAACAGTACATGACTGCTGATAAACTGATTAAAAGCTAAATTTGTTATACATCAGTGAAACATTTCTCTGCATTATAAAGAGTCAGCTTAGAGTAAATAACAAGCAAATAAAATGGGTGAAATATAAAACTCGTATCTCGGCCTTTTAAAATCTCAGTGGACGCCCATGTTTATGACGAGCCATTGATATGAAAATGATAAGTGTTCTCTTCAATCTGATCATTTCAAGTTTTCACAACCTAGAAATCCACTCACCTTCTTTAAATTATGTGTTAGTTAATGTAGTGCTCGGCACATATTTGCGAGAAAAGAACTTGACATTATATTTCGATATGGTTTTGAGATGTTTGCATATGATCTGTCTATAGTGAAGATAGGTTTCGTACACAAACTATTGCTTAAAGCGATACCACTTTAATTAGGTTTTTCTACAACACATGGAACTGCAATAGATATTAACCAATTTATAATTAGAGCTAACTTTTATTAGGCTCACCGTGAATAATACAAAATTATATTTGCAATACAAACAGAAATGTTAAATTTGCAAAATACATTTATATGTATCAAGTATAGAGTAAAATTTATGATTGTCAAATTTGTTTTACTGCATCCATTTTTCATTATTTTCTTATTAAAGACTTAATAATATTACAAATATACAGTCTTAATATTATATAAAGTAAAAGTAATGCTAGATAGAGTTATAAAACAGTCATGATATCTTCAGTGTATAAAGTAAATAATCCTAGCGATCCATTAGGCAGACGAAGTAGAGTTCTTGTATTTCTTGACCTCGGCATATGAACAGAAGTTTCAGTTATTGAGTTAGGTGGACATTAGACCTAAGCGGACTCGTGGACGCTGAACTTGCTGGATCCAGATTCTATCTTGAGACTTTCGAGTTAGCAGAACTTTTACTCTACCGCATAGCCACGCCGTTACCTCTTCAGTGTATGAATATAATTATAAGCTTATAGCGAGAATGAACCCTTATGATAATATTCAACTGAGATAATATTTTGATTTTAAATTTTTGGTTTACAAATACAACCATATTTAATCTTTCAGCTAAATTCTTAAAATAGTAAAACCGCTCTCTTTTTGCTGGAAAGACCCTGGTCTTGATTGTTGAACTTTAAAATATAGTTCTTGACCTTTCTTCAACAGAACTACAGTTGATCCGCAAGCAGAAATATTGTCAGTTTTCGCATAAATAGTTTTATACTTTAGTTTTCTAACTTTTTTATGACGTCACACTCCGTTGATCAAAGCACATGGACAAAAATTGTGTTCATGAATTTAGCCAACTTATAATGATTATTATTACTAAATGAGGTGTCAATTTAAGCTACAAAAGTGCTAATAGTTTTATTATTCACTATTTTATGTGTATTAACAGTTTATTTCACATATAAGAATAATTAAAGAAGCTATCTTTGGGTTACGCTTTGTCGCGTTTTTGCGACATCAGCAACAAAACATACATTTGTACTTGGGTGCCAAGCAAGTACACAGGAAAGTAATGTGTCGCTGTCGTTGCTTCAAGCTATAAATAAGGAAGGATGTTAATACAGTCTTCTCCTTTATATATAATGTACACTTTCGAACGTTACGGGCCATGAGGCGGGTGAGGTAGAGTTTACCTGTTTCATTGACCTCGGTATATGGACAGAACGATGCTGAAATAATGTGGTCATGCTGCTGGGTACAATATAAAAAATTTAGCTTTGAAATAGCATTGTAAAATATGAGAAGAATATAAAAACTAAATACGACAACAGGAAGTGAGGTGGTCGACCACTATCCTGGATACCACCAAAGATAGCTCTTCACAGTGACCATGACAATAATAACACTTACAATAGACGTACACCTCGAGATCAATACAGTAGCGTTAAAATATGCTGACACATATGCCCACACCAGTGCTGTTGAGAACCCACATCAGTGGCATTATACAGGCATCCAGTACTGACAACATAGTTATTAAGTACCCACAGCTTCAGCACTGAGTACCCACTTTAGTGACTCTGAGCACCTACAGATTTAGCACTAAGTTCCAGCTGGCTAGTGGAATCATATAATACGCGGTAATACAATTGGATTTTATTCAAAGATTTATAAGGATTTATTTACTTACCATTCCGATATAAATCAACCCCATTTATCTTGGCAAAAAAAGCGACGCACCCCTACCACTTTTTTTATCGTTACACAATACGCTTGGTTTCTTTTCTAAATGTTATAAGAGTCATCTACTTACCAGTCCAGGGTAAATCCCTAACGCTAACCCACAGCAGTGATACTGAGCACCCACAGCTGAGTACTTATAACAATGTTATCGATTACCAACAGCCCCAGCGCTAAGTAGGCCTACCCACAACAGTGACACCAAGTCCTCAGTACACATGACTTCAACACTCAGTACCCATTGATTCAGTATTGAGTACCCACAACATTGTAGCTACAGCACTGTCATTGGATTTCAATAGCACTATTATTCGAGTGCAGTAGAACGTACCGAAAAAGCACATAGGCCTTCTATCAAAAGCAGAAACATTGGGTAACAACAACTAAGGCACTGAGTATGCTATTTTACTGTTTAGGTAGCGACGTACGAATCCATGATATTTATTTCAAGTTAATTCCATGTTTCCAGGCAAGATGGTTAAACTTAAAAGATGAAATTGAAAGAACAGTAGCTTTTCTAACAAAATTGGCAAGTAAAATCGTATATTACGCGGTAATACAATTGGTTTTTATTCTAAGATTTATAATGATTAATCTACTTACCATTCCGATATAAATCATCCCCATTTATCTTGGCAAAGAAGCGACGCACCCCTACCACTTTTTTATCGTTACACAATACGCTTGGTTTCTTTTCTAAATGTTATAAGAGTCATCTACCAGTCCAGGATAAATCATTCCGATTTTAGTCGACAGAATTGCACCCCTTCCTCTCCCATCTTGATGGTAAACGATCTTTCCAGGTCTCTGGTTCTTAAGAGTGTACTTCACATTTACCCAATCAATGTAGAAAGCATTTGAATAAAGACGTACTCGTTTAATTTCTTAAATTTGACCGTTTACACTTCAAAACTTCAGCTTATTAAATTTGACTTTTACCGCTTTTTGTGCTTCCCTACTGTCGGCAGCGGACGACCCCACCCCCTGTCCCTCTACATCAACTAGACCCATGGGTAGCCTACACTTAGGTAGACAGGCCCATGCTACTTCACTGATAGTAATTAGATAGCTGTAGACTTGTTTTGTATCAAGATTGTATACAAGTACAGAAAGCAAACCAAACTCTTACGAACATATGAAAAACCAGCAATCAAACAGCCACAACAAATAAAGCAATCACACTTAACTTAATTAACACGACTAGACAAAGAAAACAGACTAGTAGCAACGGCTATTTACGGATCGACTATATTGGAATATAGAATAAGGTCTTGTTTTATTTTTTAAAACGGTGGCGAACAGACATACATTTTAACGCGAATCATCTTCTTAACAGTCTTGAGAGTTGTGTTTGATGTGCGAAAACACGTAAGCTATAGTGGTTTATTTCTCATTTAAAAAAAGAAATAAAACTCGAGTAGCCTTGTTTAAGTTACGTAAAAATTACATTCTTCACTAAACCTTAACCCAACTAAATAAACTAAGCATTTTTAAAAAAAAAATCCCTAATTAAACCCAGACCCGCCTCTCCACACACAATGCAACTCCTTATTAACTGTATGTCTGTATATTTAAGTTGTTCTAACGTTTTAAAAGGCTTATTATTTCTTTACTCTGATGTTCATGTTACACGCGAAGTAACTTTCTGCCTGCCTAAAGTTTCTTACTTTTATTATGCTTGTGTAACATTGGCGGTGCTGTATGTATAATTTAGATAAATAAATGGACAGAGTCAAGATATTGGTTGATTAACGGTTGTGTTAGGATCAACTCAGCTCAGCTATATGTCACTTAGTAACAGGGTAGCATGTCCAACATGCAATATATATATATATATATATATATATATATATATATATATATATATATATATATATATATATATATATATATATATATATATATGTATATATATATATATATATATATATATATATATATGTATATATATATATATATATATATATATATATATATATATATATATATATATATATATATATATATATATATATATATATAATATGGTCTATATATTGTCAGACTTATGTATATGCTATTTATGTGTGCGTGTTTGCGTAGGTGTTAATTCACATACACTGTTACTCACTAGAATCACAAGAGCGGTTTTTGTTTCGAGAATAACTGTAATATATTTATTTTTTACCTTGAAACAAATCAAATGTTATTGTCAGTATCTTTCACAATATTTACAAATTCAAATCATGAATTAATTTTTTTAAATATATCTTACACATATTTAAGTTACCAAGTGAACTTATTCCATGTTTTAATAGTTCATTGTGTTTGTCCGAAAATGCGGATTTCAATTTCAAAATTTACACACAAAACTAGGTTTTGTTTTTAACAAATACAATGATACACATTTACATAGAAACAAAAGATTTTTAAAAACTGATGTATCTCGTATCTTTATTGGGGGTCCAAAATCAAACTACTGCTGCCTTGTAGTTTGTTCTTGGTTGGACAAAGCCTATGGAAGCAAACCCAAAAAGAAAAGCAGGCTGAAATCGGAGTCAATGGCCTCAATGGCGCATAACCAGTTGACACGTAATCCTTAATTTTGATGGAAGCATGGTCGAGTCGGAAAAGCTCATGGTTGATAAATTAGAAAAAAGTATCGAGTTCAAACTTTCTGGCAGATAAGGCTCGATCCCTCCCAACACTAAAAATTAAGAACGAAGAAGAAGAAGAAAGATATGTTTATTGTGGTCACGTACAACATATTAATTGGTGATCACACTGAAAAAGTTGGAACTGTATAATGATGACTAAAAATAACAACATACTAACCATTAAATGTTTATGGACATGTAGTAAGTTGTTAGCGTGTGCTTAACATGTTGGTTACATGTTTTATTGTTTTGAGAATTTACCATCCACCATGTTTTGTGTTGTACTTCTATAAACTAACGATAGTAAAACTACTGTAGAGGGATAACGCTGCGCCTTGATCTGCGTGATACATTTCAAAGTAAAGTTCTTGACCTTTCTTCATGTCAATAACCACTGACCCAGCAGCGTTAGTGTCGGCACATTTCACTTCTATAGCCGCACAGCACCTGTTTCCACTCATCACACCAACTCCAATCTGTTTACCTTCCCTTTCACTTAGACTGACACAGACAAGATATAAACCATCATGTGGTGATACAAATTTTCCTGTTGTTTGATTAAAATGTTGACCGTTATATTCACGTACATCCCAGAATCTTGAAATAATAAATCCAACACTGATAGGTGTGCGATCAAGCTTCACATGACAAGCATATCTGTGACCTACACATGACTCTGTTGATTAGAAAACATATGTTTAATTTTACGAATGTTCTGACTACTTGATCCATAATATTTGTAAATTTTCGTTTCATTAGTTTATGTTATCATGTCATTATATGTGTTTTGTATGCAGTTTATAATGTAAGTAAAATTGACAAACCCAAATCAAACAATAATTTTTCAAAAAATTAAACTGTATATAAGAATCCATAATGTTTACCTAACTTTGTCAAAGACCATAAATTGAAACACTAGACCACTAGTTTAGTAGTCCTCAGTTTGTGTGATGCTAGCTTATAGTTTCCCACGTATTGACACTACCAGTTTAGTAGATCAATTAAAACGTAACAAAACGTACAACAAATGTTAAATACGTTATGCTAAAACCGGGTGTACGACAAAATCCCGAAATACACATGCCCAAATGCCGTTTACTCCAAGGTCGATTGCCCGAATGCGACAAACATCCGAATGGGCATTTGTTAATATCAAATAGACATTCTTAATCAATTCAAGTTTGACATTTTGATAACACAATTCTGGGTATAAAAAACAAATTTGTTTATATTTTTTAAAAATGTGTAAAATTTAACATGTAATGTTTGAAAATTGAGAAATTGCTGTAAAAAAAAAGTTTAATCTTTAATTATGTAATGTGATGTTGACGGCGGTTTTTTATGCTCTCTTGGTGTAAGTTGTGAAAACCTAGTTTAGCCGACGTGTTGCGGTGGTTATACGGCACGTATGACACGGTGTAGTCGGCGCGGCGTCTCACAACATTGAAAAGAGTCGCGTTTGGTTGATTTATTTTGTTTCGTTTAACTGGTGTGGTATTTAACTGGTGTGGTGATCATTTCACAATAGAGTGAGGCGCGGTCTAGGCGGCGAATGTAAAAACCAAAAGTAGTCAATTATATTTGATCTTTATTTAATTTGTTTAGATAATGTGTTGAAGCTATTACATAATACACAAAATGAGAATCATTTTAAAAACCTAAGATAAGCGAAAATTATATGTTCGTCTTGTTTTATAGATAGCAAAAGATGTGGACCCTACACTTTCTATAATATAGCAAATACTAATTAATTCATAATGCCTGCTTGCAGATATTAAATAGTATTTTGTTCCCTTTCAATTTGGTTAGACATTTATTTAATTATCAACATTTCAAGTTTAAATTGATTAAAAATGACTTTTGGTAATCAGTAATGTTCACATTTTTCGGGCAAACGGCCTTCGGGCAAATGGGTTTTGTGCATTGTCGCATCCGGCAAGTGTCTTTCGGGAAATCGTCCGACTCCCATTATAATCATGCAGTCCGTATGTGTTCACATTATAGTTTAATTATATATGGCTTATCTATCGAAACAAAAATACAAGAACAAAAGTTATTATGTTGTAGGCCTACTTAATAATGACTAATCACAAGATCTGCACAGCATTTTGTCTTTCTTCTTCTTCGTTCTTAATTTTGTAATGTTCATTTCAGTTTACAGCCAATTAATTAGATACTAAGATGTTAAAAATGTATAATTATAAATGTTTTCATTTTATTACTTTTTATTTTTCAGATCTGGCTCGTATGTGAAAACTTCTTAATATAAGAAACATAAGGGGATGACGTGACGTTAATTGAAATTAGTTAATTTTTAAACTGCACCTCTGTATATGTCTTACTGTACTAGGGTAGACCGCTGTACGTCCGTGTAATAGAAATGCAGAGAGTAAGAGATTTAGAGAGAGCGTGAGAGTGGGCGGTAAACAAACCTATAAAACATTTTACCGATTGGTTATCATTGAGAATTATTTGATCTCTTTTACTATTGTTACATTTAAACGAGAAAATCAATAGATAAAATTGTCATAAAATCACTATTGTTATATAAATAAGTTTTAAAAACATTTTTTTACAAAGCAAACTTACCTATGAGATGAAAATCGTTAGACAACTTTGAAATAGTATTTTCAAGTTCACCCAGCTAAATTAAAATAAAGCGTAAACGAAATAAATGAAAATATCACATGTATTCTGACTCACCAGCTTCAATAGCTAATGGTAACTTTTAAGTAAAGGAAATGATTTATTGTATATTCTTATTTAATTATTAAAACTATTTATTAGTGAATTCCCAAAAATTATGGACATTACTGGAGTAATTTAGGATTTATCAATGTTGCAAATGATTTTTTATACATATTACAAACATACCTTATTTAATTTTTCTTCCCTAGTTTCCAAGTTCTGGTTAAAGATTTGAATCAGTTTGTCAATGGGCATCAATCTTTGTTGTAGGAGTTTATACATTACATTGTGCTAAATTGAAGATGTATATATTCAACTATTTTTATTGTATATTAAAACTCACATACAATTAGCATTTATATAAAAGTTATGATTATAGGTTAAGTTAGTCAACTGCCCCTTTTAACAATTTAAAGTAAATTAAATTGCAGTAAGAATAGAACTGTGTACAAAAAATACAGCAATTTTAAAATTTACCTTTGAGTGTAACTTTTCAAATTGGGTTGATGTTTTGTCCAAGATTTTATTCTTTTCATCTTGTAAAGAAACAATCAAATCAGAATTGCTTTTAATTTCTTCTTTCATACTGTCTCTTATATCTTGCATCTCTTTGTTTATTTTGCGCACTTTGTTTTCATATTCATTCATATCTTGAGACAGTTTCTCTAGTGATTTATTTGACTTGGATTCTTTTTCTTTTAAACTTTCAATTTCTTTGTTCAGCTCCTTTACTTTGTTATCTTGTTCACTCATTTGTTTTCTGAGGTTTTTAAAATTCTGTTTTTGTTTTTTAGTCAGTTGATCAATGTTTACCCAATTGTCACTCTGTTCTGTTACAAAGTTGTCTCTCCATTGTTTTATTTCTGATATGTCATCTGTAGACTTGTGTTGTGTATCCTGTAGTGAAGATAGTGTTGTTTCAATATAGGCGAGTCTACGCTCTAGGTCAGGATGTTCTTTAACTGAGAATAGTCACATATATACGTAATTTAAAATGTCCGAAATCTTGAAAATTTGGGTGTTAATAACGAATTTAAACCATAGTATCAAACATAACTTTGTTTACAAAATACAATACATGTACATATATTATAAAATTATATCCAGTATATGATGCTATTTAACGTGTTTTACCAAAGCATAGTATAATATACCAGCTGTGTGTTGAACTTCTGTCTTGAGTTGTCTTGTTGATTCCACTGTTAGAAATGTTGCTGTTGTCTGTGTGTCAGGCTGTGGTAAAGATGGCGTTGGTTTGTTGACATCCATGTTGTCCTCATCTGGTGGATTGGGGTTTAGAATTTTATTTTAATTGCAGTTGAATTCAACAGGGATTTTATAGTAGCCTACACACAATAAATGTTGCTATTTTAGCTAGTTAAACTATGACGCAAACCATGTAACACTGTGATCAAAAAGAACTTTGAATATGATCAAAATGAATAAAAACACAATTTAAAAAAAAACGAAAACTATATATAGTTTTAAATTTAGCTTCTACAAGAAAGATTATCGATTTTATAATAAAAACTAATTTAAAAAAAAAAAAAATTTAAGTTCTATAGACATTTAAGGCTCTTCGAAGTTGTTTTTAGGGCGAATAAGGTTACACGATGTGATTGTAAAAATCTTTTTTTGTGTTCATATAATGATTTACAATATTCACTAATGAGACGTCGATTTCATAGAAAAGAGGAAAGTGATTTGTTAGACAGTAAAATTATATCTCTTTAACTTAGTATTTGTAATGCCTGTAAACTAAGCTGTAAAACAATTTCGTTGCATTTTTCTCAGTTGAAACACTTCATTACTGAACACACATGACACATGACAGTAGGCTTTGAGATTTTAAATTATAAAAACTATTTGAGTACTGACCTAAAATATGTGACGTCACATCCAACAAGGCCGTGGCTGCTGTGTCCAGTTCTTGTGATAGCTCGATGTAGCTGACAGATGATTGGTCAGTTTTTTCTTCTAGCCACGCCTTACTTTTTGCAACAACCTGATGGAAGTAAACAACAACAATATTGTCAATTGGTCACGTGTTGAAGTGCTATATTCCTAAACACGTTTTGTTGTTCTGTGTTTTTTAACACATGCACTTCGAAAAACGCTAAATCTATTTTATAGTGAATAAAATGATTTTTAAATTTTAAGTATTACGAAGACTTTTTTAGTTTGTAATGACTTACATTTTTCATATTTCCCAAAACAGGTTCCAGAACTTGTATCTGTTCTTCCAAATATTTCTTGCGCTCTGTAACAAGCTTGACCTGAATTCTCGACGACATCTAAATTTTAATAACACTAAATTTAAAAAATATGTTAAATCTGTCATCATCACTAAGTAAATCTAAAGCAGTGTTTCTTCTGGCAGATAAGGCTCGATCCCTGCCAACACTGAAAATTGAGAACGAAGAAGAAGAAGAAGTATTTCTTCAATGTAACCCCCCCCCCCCCCGCCTCCTAAAAAATAGTCTACCGTCCCCCTAACGAAATATTAAAAATATGTAATTTTACAGTGTCCGCCTCCCGCCTCCCCCCTCCCCCCCCCCCCCCCGAAAATTTCAAGTGCCACCCTTTATCTACTGACGGTTTCATAAATTATTTTAATTTAAGGTGAATCTTTATAATCCTTTATATATTTATAATCTTCCTTGAGTCAAGTATAATTTTAGTGTACCAAAAGTAATAGGATAATTCATTAAATTAATTCAGTAAAGAAGGAGTTAATTATAACAAAGATAAAATCTAATACATGAGTTATAAATCTACCAAGACTAAGTTTTTGTCCTAAATTATTAAACTATAACTGGCAATCCACAATAAAATAAAAACTAATTTAAATTTTGATATATACTTCAAGTATTGTATTTAGATCTGTTAACTAATGTAGTTAATTATGTAATACATATCAGAAAAATGGGATAGTTTTCCTTGGTTTCACTTATGTTATTTCCTGCTTGCTAAAATTATACACTTGGGTATTTCCGTTTTTCACTTTCATTATCTATCCAGCGTTGTGATGAAGTATTTTACAATTTGTCTGTGAATTGCCTAAATATACAGTAATAAAATACTTTTTTTTATAAAACGACCTACATACTTTTCTATTAATAAGTATATTTTAAAGAAATTATATATTATCAAGCTTTATAATTAAGACAATATAATTATAATAACTGAACTGAGTAAGAATTGAAGAAGTATAAGAGCTTTTGATTTTGTTTAAAATTCATTATTTTTAGGTTGTTTGGTTATATTAAAAGGAAATGCTGTTTTAAAAATATATGAAATAGATTAAAGATTAACAATACCTTGAGTAGGGCTAGTCTTCTTGTGGGGAATCAAAGGACTGGAATTGTGTACAGTAGCTGAACTTCCTCTCAGTGTTTCTTCCAGACTTTTTTCTCCGGGGGGGCACTTGAAATCTTCGGGGGGGCGGTAAACTTTCTTCGGGGGGGCGGACACTGTTAAAAGTATATATTTTCTATATAAATTATATAAATTTCCTTTCATTCGGGGGGGCGGTAAAAAATTTTCGGGGGGGGCCCCCCCGAAGAGATGCCTGGAAGAAACTCTGCTTCCTCTGTTTAATAATAGCGGGTTTTCCCGATCGCGTTGTCAATTTGAGAGTTATCTTTCTTGTATTGATGATTTAACTACGTGTAGATCAGCCATAAAAAGAAATTTATTTCATCGATCTAAAGGTAAGGAAACAATTGTAGATCTCAATCTCATGCACATCGTTTTAATTATTTACACAGCGACTAACGGGGGTGAAGTTCACATGCGAAATTGAAGCACGATATATCAACTGTCGAGGCGGTAAAATGCAAGTTTAAGCTGAAAGTTAAAACAGTCATTTACGTAACATTTGTTACGTTGAAATACTTCACTGGGACTATTGCATCTGCAGTTATATGTTATCAGAGGCGTAGCGACCCTAGTCGGCCCCGGGGCGAACTATCAACTTTGTGCCCCCTCCCATTTAAATTATATCTATTGACGTGAGTGAAAAAAAAATCACTCCCCCCCCCCCGAGCTCCAGTTGAAAAGGTTGGTGGCACTTTTTAGCAGTCAATAACATTTTTTTTTGGTACCACACTTAGAGAGTGTACTATTCAATACCTTAGCTATCAATGATTTCAACCCAATTATCGGTCAACAATTTAGTGGTGCCACTTTATATAACGCATACTGATGTAACTTTAAAATGAACATTCATTTAGCCTATCTATCACTTACATGCAGATGTCTGAGTACAACCCCACCCATGAATCTTTGAACATTTTGTTGGAACAGTTAGAGAAGATGCATGTTCATGTAAGTAATTTAAGTTATTGTGTCACCAAGGTAAATCAAATATATATATATATATATATATATATATATATATATATATATATATATATATATATATATATATATATATATATATATATATATATATATATATATAATGCTTTTTCAATACTATATTCTATATCGAACTCATTTGAATTATAAATCTGTATTTTAAATAAATACTATTATGGCTACTGCCTTTGCTCACGACGAACATTTATTTTAAATATATATATATATATATATATATATATATATATATATATATATATATATATATATATATATATATATATATATATATATATATATATAATGCTTTTTCAATACTATATTTTATATCGAACTCATTTGAATTATAAATCTGTATTTTAAATAAATACTATTATGGCTACTGCCTTTGCTCACGACCAACATTTATTTTAACTGAATTAATAACGAAAACTATTTATCTACTAATCTATGTGCTCTAATTAATTAGATCAAACTAAAAACCAGGAACTGGATGGATAAAACGTCTGACACTGATATGCCATTTAAAGATGTAGTTTCCTTGGTAACATCTGCGAATGCTACATTGATAGAACATGTAGATATTCTAGCTGGTAAAGTGAACGTTTGTATCTTGCTTTTAGAATTGGCAGCTACATATAGGTTCAACTTTTAGTTGTTTTTTTACTTTTAGTTTTTAAATATTAAGTATGTAACATATAACGGAAAATGTAGGCATGGTATTTCGTTATTTTTTGAGTGAATAGTTTTTACTTATTATGGAGCATACGAAAAGCAAGTGATGTTTATTTTTGAACCAAGACATTAGTAAATATATTTATTTTAGATTGATAAAGTATGTAGTAAAAATAGTATTGAAAAGTTGAAACTGATAGATAGTCTTTGTCCTGATCAAAAATATTATATTTTACAATCGCTTTCTAAATGAAATTATATATTCTTACCAATGAAAGAATTGCTTATAAGTTTTAAATAACCCATCTTCAGACCAAACATTTTTTTGTTACAGAATACAACATGCAGTCTACTACGACAGTTGGACAACACAAGACACCTGGTGTAACAGACACAAAGGAATCTCAAACTGGTCAGAGATTTTTTTTAGAATTAAAAAAAACAAATATTAGCTAAAAAAGTGTTGTAACCAATGTCGCCTAAAAGGTTATTTACAGTTTACGCTTACATAAGTTGTTTTAATACTATAGTTAAATAAACATGTTGTTTTGTTTTTGTTTTCTAGTGTGTGGGAATAACTCTCATTTTAGCTTCTTAAACTTGTTTAAAACTTGTATGCTATTTGTGTTAATTTAAAATCAATCTTTTTCAAATCAGATTTGTTAAATCGAGTGAAAATTCTCGAGAAAGCTATAATTTCTCTTCAAGCAACGCAACAAAAGACTGAAGATGACATGTCAGAAATAAAACAATAGAGAGACAACTATGTCACAGAACAGAGTGATAGGACAACAAAAATTGAACAACTAAACAAAAAATAAAATCTAAACTTAAAAAACTTTAGAAAACAAATGAGTGAACAAGATAAGAAAGTGAAGGAGCTGAACAAAGAAATTGAAAGTTAAAAAGAAAAATAAACCAAGTCAAACAAAACACTAGACAAACTGTCTCTAGATTTAAAAGAATTTGAAAACAATTTACACAAAATAAATAAAGAGATGAAAGATCACCCACATAAAACAGACAGTGTAACACTAGAAATTCAACATTTATCGACAATTATTTCTGGTTTACAAGAAGATAGTAAGAAAGTGAAGACCGATACAGCAAACACGATAGATAAATTACAGTTAAAGGTACATCAAAAATCACATTTTCAAAATAGTTCGTACACATGTTATTTAAATATAACTCTACAAAGATGAGGTTAATTACAACATAAACACATTATGTGTGTTTCCATTATGAAACCGTAATTCGTTTAAAAAAATTAGAATATCAAATATCTGCATTTGAAATAGACATAATTATAATTTTTGTTTTAAAATCATAGCACAGTATGATGTACAAACTCCTACAACAAAGATTGATGCCCATTGACAAACTGATTCAAATCTTTAACAAGAAGTTTGAAACTAGGGAACAAAGTTTTAAAAAGGTGCGTTTCTTTAAAGTAAAATTGTTTTCTGATTTATATTAAAATAGCCAACATTATAAAATTAATAACAGTTGCATGGAGCCAGTAATGCATATTATCTTTTCTTTCTAAGCCAAGTTTATAATCATTTATTTTAGATTCCATTAAAGGTGTTGTACTAAGTTGCAAGCTCAGTGTTATATTACACGTTTCTGTTTGTTTAGCGTGATAATTATCAATATCAATAGATCATAAACTCGAATTATTTAGCAAGAACATTTAACATATATAAATATGTTTTTTCAATTAAGCTGGAGGCCATTGAAAGTGAGATGATAAGGCTTCAAACGATAATCATACAATCGGTAAGTTTCTTGAGTACTTGACTTAATACTTTGTGGCCCCTGAGGAACAAAGGGCTACAATCACACCTCGACACCAGACTGGGTTTTGGGCAGCTCTCCTTTCGTGAGCTGAGGTCATTAGCTTCTACTTCTACCGTTCTCGTCTGTGATCTTTCGGCCGGCCCACTTTCTTTCTTCCCTATCGATTCTAGTCTACAGCTTTCTTTGCAAAATTATCTTCATTCCTTCTCAGGGTATGTCAAACACATCCCCATTTAACGGGTATAATGTCCTTATCTATTGGTTATTGTTTTGTGTTTGTCACAGGTAATTAGTTGATAGTTTACCAGGTCATCTTATTTTGTGGATTTGCAGAAGACTTCAGTTTATGAACAGTTGTGTTTGTGTTTTGTATTTTGTAGAAAAAAAGTAAAAAAAATGGATAAAAACAAAATGTTGGAAAAAGTAAAGAAATGAACTTGTATAAAATGTAATTACTTTAAGAATCAGCCAACGAGCTTAACTTAAGACGTTGGCGAGTGGGGGGGGGGGGGGGGGGGGGGGTTAGATGTACAGTATGTCCAACTAATATCTGGTCTACTTCACACACATTTCAGTCACTTACTAGCTCATTCGTTACAATCTTAATATAACGCCTTTTTTCTAAAAATAATAAAACTTTCTTAAATTTAACTGAACACAGTTGCACTTACTGCTACTCAATGATTAACAATTTTATCTCGTTCAATTTTCGTGACTGCTTTTCTTTTTCAGTGACCTTTCCTTTTTTTTAATACTTTAAATGTACCCGTTTAAGACAAAAACTGTGACGGAGTTTTGTTTCGTTTTCGCGTTCACAGTTTTGGTGAGGATGGTACTAAAAAACGCTCATTGATTAGTTGAATGGTGATGATATAGGAAATAAAATGAAATATGCAATATAATAGTAGCAAATACTTACTATTAAATACTAACAAAACATTACACACTACGAAAATCTAACCAATAAATACTACGTAAACAGTATACACTACCCAATACTAACTATTATATAATACATTTACTATCAGTTATACTAAACTAAAAAATAATGAACAAATGATTAACGCATGTGTAACAATGTAAAGAAACGTTTAACAAAACATACACGTTTTTTTTCCTGCTTGACAGATAAACGTGCAGCATGTAACAGATATGGTTGTTATATCCACCTGAAAGACAACACAATGATCACATTGTATTCACGGATTGAAACATTTGGTGAAATTAGAGAATACAACGGTCAACATTTTAATCAAACAACAGGAACATTTGTATCACCACATGATGGTTTATATCTTATCTGTGTCAGTCTACATGAATATGAAAATAAACAGATTAGAGTTGGTGTGTGGGCTGGTGTATGTCTGTAGAAGTGAAGTGTGCCGAAACTAGCGCTGCTGGGTCAGTGGTTGTAGACATCAAGAAAGGGGAAGAACTTTACTTTGAAGTGTCTGAAGCAGAACAAGCCGCAAAGTTATCTCAATAGTTTTACTATCGTTAGTTTATAGAAGTACAACACAAAACATGGTGGATGGTTAACTTTTTAAATAATGAAACTTGTATCCACCATGTTAAATACCATGCTAATATATTCATCTTGCAAAAATGTTTTCTATTTCTTTATATAATTCCACGTGTTATTATTGTTTAGCATTTTTCATTTATAAAGTCGTCACTGTCAAGGGTGCGACTAAAATATTTGCTTTAAAACACCTTTAGTAGCTCGCGATCTCTGAAAGACGATTATCTGATATATGGAAGCAGCCGAAAGTGTCCACATTAAATAGACAACAGCAAGCCAACCAAGTTTTCGCTAGTTCTTGCGGCCATTCAGATTCAAATTGTTTAATAACATTTATTCTCGCCCCTGATAGCTTTTACTAACTTGACTCGCCTCTAAGATTGTAAATATTTGGAATGAAGCACAGCCCTAGCTAGTTATCTCCCATTCTGTTACTGAATACAGTAATCTCTAGAGTATCCGCTAAGGGGATAATCTATAACAAGATTTGTTTGTTTCGAGGGATTGTGGCAAATCTTTTTAACTCAATTTTGACACACTTGAAATGCAACGAAAATGTTATCGATCATTTGTATCGAATATCTGGAATATTTAGCTTTGGTCTTACATTAATTAGTTAAAAGTAATTTAATTTAGCGAATTAATAAATGTGGAGATAACAAGAGAGGTGTGGCAACCGATTCCAGCCAACTCTCAGTTCTGTGCCCCTCATTCTAAAAATAAATATAAATTTAGAGTATTTAAATTGCCATTTACTAGTTACTACCCCTGTTACACAACCTCAGTCGTCGAAACTGGCAAGACTCCAATGTCGCGTGTCAAACAATTCAATCGATTTGTAAATATCGATTATTATGTTAAGTCAATTACAAATAACGAACTCAAGCCTAAATCTAAATGGTATCAGAAGCCAGCATGTTTTTATATACCTTAGAACACAATCCAGCAGGACAAAGTTTGATTTAGATTAACATCACGTATTTCGTTCAGTGCCTCTATATGTTTACATTAAGAAATTGAATTTAGTATTTTCTCACACAATACTTGTAAAAGATGTGCTCCTCTACATGATCCAATTTATTTCAAGTCGAGGTGTCGATGATATTCTGCGATTGTCAAATGAATCTTGGGTTAGATTTATGTATCTTACATCGAATAATGGTTTGGTCTATACTCCAAAGTTGTATTCTTTGTCCTATGATTCAAAAGCTGAATTATATTTTTTAAAAGCTTTTATTTAGTTCACAACGCTTTTCTTTGTAGTAATTTAAATAGTAGTTTCTTATAATATATTTAAACGCGTAGAAGGGGTGGAAGCAGGCGTTGAAATATCACTTTCTGTTTGTATGTGTTATTTTAGTAACACCCCCTGTTTACGACCCCTTACGCCTTTACACTATACCCATTACGGAAGCTACTATTTGTATCATCGTCCCCGTACTTCTGTGTCGTTTGTGCGGTCAAATAATAGTTCTTGTTGTGTTTATGAGGCCAGCGGTCAGTTGAAACAATTTGTGCACAGTCAAGAAAGCTCTGCTGATTGGCTGAAGTGGCTACACGTCTGACTTGATGCATGAAAGGCGAAGCGATTTGGTGCCGCGTGAAATGGTAAGTTCGGATCCCGTAGGGTTAAAACTTCTCTGCCTCTACTTGGACTACATTCTGCATCTGTCTGCTCTTGGTGTGGACATTTCACTTATGTTTATATGCCTATTATGTTTAAAGAAAATCTTTCATTTTTCTTCTTTTTAGTGCATCAGTGCTTTATTACATATTATAAGCTAATTATAAAAACGTTCGTTTTATTTAGCTCAAATCTAGTAGCTCTATTTTGACCTTCATCAAATCAAGTGATTTCGTTTAAACCTTTCAGTAACGTTCCACTTTGATGACAATACAATTCAATGTATTTTTAAGTTTAATTAGACGTTTAATTAGTCATTAAAATAAATAAAACTCTATTGACACTAAGAGAGATAAAACAATTAAATCGCTTGATAGATTACTATATTCACTAACAGAAGGAGAGATAGCTTGATAGATTGCTAGACGCTATCAAGCCATATCGTGCTGTGCTATTACACATTCATATAGAGCTGTGCTAATACATACACTCATATATACCTGTGCTGTTATCTACACCGTCATACAAGGCATAATTCAAAGATCAATTAACTTCATTAACGTAGCCCCATTCCGATATACAGTTGTTAAAATCAATAGCTTATTGAGTCGCGACTCATTTGTGACGTACCAGTTGTAACGTTTATGTTCTTCTTAGCTAATATCGATTTTCTTTAGTCAAAATTGTTGACTTTACTCAACACAGGTAAAGAACAATAAGTAGAATAAATGTTGTAATTTTAATGTATTATTGTTCTGTTGTTTTCATGGGAATGTTAAGTAGGTTTTTTGAGTTTGTCCTTTTTATTATATAAGTAGCAATTTCTATTTTTACATTACATTTGTAAATGTATTATTCAAGGTACTATTTTAAGCGATAGCAGATGGGCACATAGTATTTTAAAACTATTTAAATTTATATTTAACATCCCAACCAGCTTGTCCCAGCGCCGATTTTTTTTTTTAGAAACAAGTTTGTTAATGACAAGTGCCTTCTTCTCTCCTTTAGGGTGAACGTCGAAATTATCTGTATTGCAATTATTACAAAAAAAGTGTAACATTTGGCAATAATAATTATATTCTTGAGTTCTGTAAAAACTAAAAATATACATTAATAAATACGAAATTTAAGTCTAGAGTGTAACTACGGTTCGCGGTTGAAGAAGAGGCGAAAGCAGCTGGGCAAACATGGGCACAGATAGAGGGGGCAGCAGTAGTAGTATATTAGGTCCCTTTTGATTATTATCCGCAGGCGCAGGCGCAGGCGCAGGGTGAGGTGGAGGTGGAACAAAGGTTATATAGCAAAATACTACCCCAGCCTGGGACAATGACATATAGTAAAATACTCACCCACCAGGCGCAGCCTGCCGCAGCCTGGGACAACGAGATATAGTAAAATACTCCCTGGGGGAGGTGGAGGGACACCGACATATAGTAAAATACTCCCCCAACTGGGGGAGGTGGATGGTGAGGGTGAAGGTTGAGGGTTAGACATGTTATATAGTAAAATACTCACCCACCTGGCGCAGGGTGAAGGGTGAGGGTGAAGGGTGAGCCTGGGACAATGAGATATAGTAAAATACTCCCCCACCCTAGGGTGGGGGAGGTGGTGGGGAAGTAGGTCAGTAGGTCACCACCGGTGACCTTGTGACGTGATCAGTGACCCTGTGACACAATCAGTAACATTATGACGTAATCATTGACCTAGTTACGTAATCATTGACCTAGTTACGTAATTTTAATGAGATTTTAATTAGGTGAATTTAATTTTTTAAATTTTTATTAATTTTTATTAACGCGTTACGCAATTTGATTATTTGTTTTCTTTTTGATTATTTTTATTTTGTTTTTTTAATTTTAATTAATTTTAGTTTAATTTTTATTAACGAGTTACGTAATTTGATTATTTGTTTGTATTTTTTTTTTGTTTATTTTTAATTAGTTTAATTAGTATTAACTAGTTACGTAATTGGATTTTAATTTTTTAAATTTTAAAATTTTTAAAATTTTAATTTTGTAATTTTTTTTTTTTTTAATTTTAATTTTGTTTGTTTTTAATAAGTTTGATTTTAATTTTGTTTTTTACCTTAATTACGTAATTAGTTTGATTTTTTAAATTTAAATTTGATTTTAAATTTTTAAATTTTTAAATTTAAATTTTAAATTTTAATTAATTTTAATTGTTGTTTACTTGTTGTTTAATTTAATTACTTTGTTTCTATTGTGTAATTTTTATTAACGAGTTATCAAACTTATTAAAAACAAACAAAATTAAAATTTAAAAAAAATTAAAATTACAAAATTAAAATTTTAAAAATTTAAAAATTTTAAAAATTAAAATCCAATTACGTAACTAGTTAATAATAATTAAACTAATTAAAAATTTATATTTAAAAAATTAAACTAATTAAAAATAAACAAACAAAATACAAACAAATAATCAAATTACGTAACTCGTTTATAAAAAAATTACACAATATAAACAAAGTAATTAAAATCAAATTAAAAGTTTTAAAAAATTAAACTAATAATAATTAAACTAATTAAAATAATTAAAATTACAAAATTAAAAATTAAAAATTAAAAAAATTAAACTAATTAAAAAATAAACAAACAAAATACAAACAAATATTAAAATTACGTAACTCGTTAATAAAAATTAAACTAAAATTAATTAAAATTTAAAAAAAAACAAAATAAAAATAATCAAACAGAAAACAAATAATCAAATTACGTAACGCGTTAATAAAAATTAAAACTAATTAAAATATCATTAAAATTACGTAACTAGGTCAATGATTACGTAACTAGGTCAATGATTACGTAACTAGGTCAATGATTACGTCATAATGTTACTGATTATGTCACAGGGTCACTGATTACGTCACAAGGTCACCGGTGGTGACCTACTGACCTACTTCCCCACCACCTCCCCCACCCTAGGGTGGGGGAGTATTTTACTATATCTCATTGTCCCAGGCTCACCCTTCACCCTCACCCTTCACCCTGCGCCAGGTGGGTGAGTATTTTACTATATAACATGTCTAACCCTCACCCTTCACCCTGCGCCAGGTGGGTATTTTACTATATAACAT